TCACTATGTTTGATTAAAGTAGTACTGCCATAGTTCCCTAATATAAAGTTATTTTTTCAACATTTGCTATTTCTGAGATTTTTAAATAATTTTTAAAAATTTATTATATACACACACACACACATATATATATATATATATAAATAAATAAAGGAAGTATTGTTTTAAGATGTATTTATTTATTAAGTAACACTGTTTGGCCATCATGTATACCTGCAGACCAGACCAGAAGGGGCACCAGATCTCATTATAGATGGTTGTGAGCCATCTGTGGTTGCTGGGAATTGAACTCAGAACCTCTAGAAGAGAAGCCAGTCCTCTTTACCACTGAGCCATCTATCCAGCCCTACGTGTAAGATTTTTAAAGGAAATTACTTTAAGACTAGGAAATCCTTTGTCCTTCAGGAAACAGTGGACTAATTTAATTAATTTTTAATCAATCTGTATTCATGAATTTCTATATTATTTAGCTATAATCCATTAATACCATACTCAGGAGATTAATGCAAGAAGATTATAAACAGAAGGTTAGCCCAGGCTACATAGCAAGCCCTTCTCAGCAAATTGCCATCATCATTTAGTACCCTTACTTATTGGGATGCGCAGCTTTTCCCAGATCTGTTCTGTGTGAACCCCTTAAACTGGCTCCTGACTCTTTCAGACATGGCTAATCAATCTTCGAATACTTTCCTGTTTCCTGGTGGAGGATGTCCCAGGTTTACACACTGCTCCACACGTTGGAGAAAGCAGCCATTTCTCCAATATTATCAAAAAGAATAGGGCTGGACGCCAACACCTAGGTGTTAAAATACACTTACTGCTTAGAAGTCAGTGGGCAGAGCTACCAACATCTGTGTGTAAACTCAAACACACACAACATACTTGTAACATGAAATATACACATATATAACATGTGCATTATACATGATACATAAATTTGTACATTTGTGACAGGAAGAGACAAATTTGTAGTCATGAGTTCTTACTGATAACAAAGGTTTCCCTCCCCCACTCCTCTTTATTTCCTTCTTCCCTAATGGAAAACCTGCGATCTGCTTTCCCTGATAGATTTCCATATTTGATCAATTCCCGTGTATACAACATCCCACAGCAACTGCCACATCCGTCCCCCCAGTCACTCTCCTTGCTCACTCAGACTTGATCTTCTGGGCAGGTCTGCTCTGGAGTGTGGGTCAGATATTACCGGTCACCTTGCCCCTGCTCAGTAGCCCTTGTCACTTTGCTCAACTCTGAGACCAGGGGTGAGCTAAACTTTGGTGGGAGCATCTCCTTCGCTGTGTGGAGCCTAACCTCTTCCCTGGAAGTCATCCTCACCAGGATCTCTGTGCTGCTAGCTCCACCTACCAGACCAGGTAAAGATCCCTCCTGCTCCTGCTCTTCCAATGGCTATAGGCCCACTCAGGAAGCCATGAAGACAAAGGAGCTGAGGCCGGGTGATGGGAGTACCAAGATGAAAGTTGGTTGAACATGTTCTTTTTTTTTTAATATTTATTTTATTATGTATACAATATTCTGTCTGCATGTATGCCTGTAGTCCAGAAGAGGGCACCAGGCTTCATTACAGATGATTGTGAGCCACCATGTGGTTGCTGGGAATTGAACTCAGGACCTCTGGAAGAGCAGGCAATGCTCTTAAGCTCTGAGCCATCTCTCCAGCCCAACATGTTCTTAACAAACATTTACATGACCAAAATTTGGAAATATTCCAATTAAAGATGTGCTTATAAAAGATGGGCTTATAATAAATCTGTTCGTTTAAACAGTTTAAATACCTTTTTAAGAGTATTTTTTACATTATTTTTATACTTTTCTGCACATTGGTGCTTTTGCTTATGTAAGGGTGTTGGGGTCCCCTGGGACTATGTAGTTACAGACAGTTGGGAGCCGTCACTCTAGAAGAGTTGTCAGTGTTCTTAACTGCTGAGCCATCTCTGCAGCCCAAGTTTAAAGACAAAAACTGCTAGTGTTTTCTGCAAACACGTTATCAGGCAAATGTGGGCATTTAAGTAAGATTCACTCCCACAAATATTTATTACTAGAAAATATAGGGACTAATAGGGAAGGGAGCATACCAAATAGCATATAAGCTATTTCTTTGGAAGTTAAGATGCTTGTTCCAAATTATAGCATTGAAAAGGTTTAAAAAAAAAAAAACCCATTCCCTCAGTTTGTTCCATGTGATAATACTGATAATGATGGCAATATTCCTGTCGTTCACAAAGGTATTTTTATATCTATTATTTAATTTAAAAAGAGGGGGTAGGCTGCTGAGATGACTCAGCAGACCAGGGCACCCCAATGTCTAGCTTGACAACCTGGGTTCAATTCCTAGAGCCCACATGGTAGAAGAAAGACGACTCTCAAGTTGTCCTGATGTTCAGGAGCAGACTGTAGTATCCATGCATGTGCACACATGTAACAAAATAAAGAAAACAATAAAAAAAAAAATAAGAAAAGAAAAACTTGAAAAAGCCAGTAACTCACTCCTAGTGCCTTACCCCCGACTTCATTCCAGGACTCAAAACTGCATGTGTCCCTCAGCTCCTAACTTGCATGCAGACTCTCACACTATGCTCTTGGTCAATGATTCCAGTTATCTCAGAGAAACTGTTTAAAAACACAGGCTGTGGAGTCAGACTATCCTTAAACTTTCTGCTCAGCCACCAAACTAACTATGTGTACTCGGGCAATCGATTAACGGAAGCCCCAACTTCCTCTTTTGAAAATCGGACAAAATAAAATCTAACTCATCAGGCTGCCCAGGGCATAGTACAGGGGCTGGCGCACATCTCTTACAGAGTGTAAGTAGAGGGACTTGTACCCAGTTTGTTAATGAAATTCTCCCTAAATTTCTAAGTTTGTTGATGAAATTTCTCCTAAAGTAGCAGAACACCTATCTCTAAGTAGTTCAAAGTATAAACACAAAAAGCATCCATTAAAACTTGCAGTAGTTTTCAGCAAAGAAGACAAATCTCATTAAAATACTGAATCTAGAAAGCTTTGTAGACCTATTTATTTTTGTGTGTATGTGTGATCTATGTCTCTCTCTCTCTCTCTCTGTGTGTGTGTGTGTGTGTGTGTGTGTGTGTGTGTGTGATCTATGTCTTTGCCCCAGAAAGGCCAGAAGAGGGCATCAAATAGGATCCCCTGGGACTACAGTTACAAATGGCTATGCCCTACCATGTGGGTATTGGAAAATTGAACCTGGGTCCTCTGGAAGAGTAGCCAGTGTTCTTCATTGCTGAAAGTGTAACCACTTTGAAGGTCAGTTTCAAAGTAGACACAGATGCCATGCTTTTCAAATTCCCCATTGTTTCTGAACTTTCACCTGAGTGGAGACTGTAAGGAAGTCCCATGATCCCCTCTGTCACCGGCACATGTATTAACAGCTTCAACCTGTGCGTTAAGTTCAAGACAATGCTAGCAGAGTATCTAACAATACACCCTCAGGGTCCTCTCATGTGATTTTACCTGCTTTACCTCATACACGGAGTTTTCGAAGATACTAAGGAAGACTGCCATCTATGCTAAATAAATCAGGTTTTTCTAAGGCAAGACCTGGGTATCAATCTTTTGAAAGCTCTCCTATAATTCTCACACACTGTTAAGTGGAAAACCAAACTTCTACGGCTAGCCCAAAATACCTTGATTCTCAAAACAACAGTTGAGGCTGGATTTATGGTCCCATGATGGAGCTGCTTCCTTCCGTGAAGGAGGCCCAGAGTTACACACTCACAACTGAGGAAAAGGAGAGGGAAGTGGAGAAGAAAGAAAGGGGAAGGGAGAAGGGAAGGGAGGGAAAAGAGAGGGAGGAGGGAAGGTGAGAAAACGGGAAGAGGGAAGGGAAGTGGGCTGGGAAAAAAAAAGAAAACAGTATTTAGAATGGATGAAGACAGAAGAATCAGGTGTACCCGAGGAGGGGCGCAGGGAAGCGGGTCAAGCCCTGGACAATTATTTTTAAGTCTTATGATGGAAAACAGATGTGAAGCAAGAAAATCCAGAAACTGGAGGAATCCAAAACCAAAAGGTTTTATGCAAGTTGTGTGTGTGTGTGTCCCTTTGATCATTTTTAATAGTATATTGAACCAATCTACAGGTTATAAGCTCATGAAAACAATCTATAATAGCTGAAACCCTTCTGTAGAAGAATGTCTGGACTTAGTTCCCAGTGGGCCAGTCTCAATTGCTTGAGCCGTTAGTGGTGATTTAAATGGGAGCTAACCCTTCACTGACACAGAACTTGCGCTGAAAAACAGGTTACAAGGACCGCTTGCGACACAGAAAGTATAAACAGGTGAGCTAATTCGGCAAACTCGATCTTGACTTTAGGTAATGTTTTTCAGATAAATCCTTCTGTTGGCAAGCCTTAAGCACGAAACCCAACACCCTAGGGGGAAAAAGTTTTGTTTTGATAAAGACCATGATGTAAAGACAAGATATACAGGGATAATTTTCTTATATGGGCTTGAGTTGGCTGGGTGTGATTTTTTTTTTTTTAACCATCTGCTCTAAAAAACATCCTCAAAGCCAACACCTGCCAGGAGGAAAGGTGATACGAGGGCCTCGATGTGGCCTCTAGTGAAGGGAGTTGGCCTCGGGGAATGTGGACTCCTAAAGCCACAGTAGCAGAGGTCAAGCCCCCAGCATCCCCCGCACAAACCCACGCACTCTATTAGCCCACTTCGTCGGAAAAACCCGATCCTGTCCCAGTACCAGCCCCAGGGATCAAACTGGGATATATTGGAACCGGAATCACCCCCAGAGCGGACCTGGAGCCGCCCCTTCTCCCACGTTTCCTCCTAGGGTAACCCGCACCCAGCCAATGAGAGGCCACCTCCGCTCCGCTGCCGCCAGCGCCCGCATCCCCGCGGCCCCTGCGCGGGCGGCAAGGGATGTCCTCCGGATGGAGGGTCGCGACCACTGCGCCCCTACTCGTGCGCCCAGAGCCCTCCCCGGTCCGGTCCCTGTACCCCAGGCACCTGCGGGATCGCCTTCTGCCCGATGCGGGCACGTCGCCACCAGAAGGCACAGAAGCACCAGCGGGCAGCCAGGCGCCACAAACGCCCTCGGGCCAGTGAGCGAGCGCATGGCGCGGGCGGGTCGGTCCTGGTCGCTGGTGCGCCCTCGGCTTGCTGCGGTCCGTCTCCCTTTTATTCCTACGCACACTTGCTGGTAACCGGGCGCCCACTGCCAGTCCCGGGGACAGGACACGCGAGAAAAAGCGGAGTGGGAGGGGCCGGCCGCCCTGGCCTCCTCCCCCGAGACGCTCCCGGCGCACCCGAGGCCAGCCCAGCCTTGCGCCGGCCCTCATCAATTATGCAGCCCGCAGCCCGCTGCTGGCTCGCCCGGATGTGCTGTGCAACCCGGGCGCCGCATCCTCTCCCGCCCCCACTCTCTCGACTTGCCCAGGTTGGGGTGGCAGCTTGCTAACCGAGTCAGCCAGGTGATGTCTAGCCCATCACCTCCGGGACGTGTTGCAACTCCCTACAGATTGTAGTTTGCGTCCATTGGATGGGTTCGCTTATTTACTTTGAGGAAGCAGGTGAAAAAGAGTGGATACTTCTGCTCCTGTGCATCTTAAATCTACATAGGTTTGTTTTTACCAGACCAGAGGCGCTATCCACTGGCCCTGAGCCCGGTACTTAGCCTTCCTCAGAGCTTCCTATCAGTCGTGCACACCCTCCCCCAACCCAATCTCCGAAGGTTTAGATAGTTCCCTCCGGATTAAGGTTTCAGAGTCCCAAGGCCCCATAGTGTGTCTCCTTTTGTTTGCTTGTCGCAACAGTTTTCCTGGCGCCAAAGAGCTCAAAAACAAAAAACTAAGTAAAGGGAATACTATGTAAAAGGCAGAAGGCCGCTCACCTTTGTCGAACTTTGTGGAATACAATGTTATCTCTTATCCATGAGGGGCCTGAGGTTGGAATTTTTTGCTCTCACACCAAATAAATTAATATAATTAAAAACGATTGTTTTGCTGGCCAGGAGAGAAGGAACCTATATTTTAACGCAGCAGCCTTACTTAGCAGGCCTTTGTCCTTTAGGGACCTTCACCGGGCAACACTGCAGGAAGGAATTTGAGAATGAACCGGTGTTCATCAAGCACCGGTGGACTGTATTAAAAAGGCATTTTTTCTCAAGACAGATTTAAATATGAGGATTAATTCAAAACCGTGTGTGTGTGTGTGTGTGTGTGTGTGTGTGTTTCAGGGCTGTTAAATAAAGGGCAGGAGGATGTTAGACACCATCTTGGTGGCTAACAAAGTTACAGCTCAAAGGACTGGTAAGAAACTTTCTTGTTCTTTTATCCTGCTTTTTTGTTAGATGGAATTATAGGGTGATTCCACTGGCGCCTTGGGTGAAGGACAACGTGATAAGATCAAAGCAGGGGCTGCACGCAGTCCACTGGAGAGTTAAGCCACTCTTTGTGGTATATGGAGTGAAATTCCTGGGAAGCGTAAGGTTTACACGTGGAAAATGAGAACGGCCATATACATTGTGGCGTTAAAGGTGACACGCTGCTCTTTTTTACATTTTCCTTTAAGGTGTATGAAGGACCCAAGCAGGCCCAGGCTTGGCAAACAGGGCTCCAGCAGCCCTTGCCCTTCCTCCTTCCCTCTCCTTGTAAACCAGAGATTATAACCCTAAAGCAAGCTCCCAAGGCCTATTCTCTTATTTGGCCAATTCCTCCTCCTGAGACTGACTACCAAGCTATAGCTATCAAAGAATTGACATCCAGCAATCAAAAGCCTCCATGCAATTGGCATATCCAATCAAAGTATACCATCCTAGCCCATCCTAACACTGACCTCCCCTTTTTCTCTTCTTAAAAATTATGTCTGCAAGGTCGTTGGCTGTGTTTTCTTCCTGACTCAAGAAGCCTCCACTTTAACTTTTCTTTCCGTTTAATAAAGGATCTCTGTGAAGACAGGTGTTTGGGTACTGTTGATGCCTAACCCAGGAGGCGGGGAGCCCCCTGCTGTGCATGGGGGTTTCTTCTGTATATGAAAGCAGTATTTTCCCTGTGTAGACAGTTTTCACATCAAATGTTAATTGAGACAGTTCTTGACTCCTAGCTGGAGAGAGGCTTCCTCAGACTCCAAGGGAATGGCATCCTTTCCTTCCCCTGTCTTCCTAATTTTCTCTATCTTCCTATCATGGCCCCTAAGACTTTGTGGGATATTATGACACAGTAAAGATCACAGAAAACAAAACAAAACAGAAAAACCATTGTTTTGGAGGTTTTTTTTTTGTTGTTGTTGTTGGTTTGTTTTTTTGAACATCACCTGCCTGTATAACTGAGGCTTTCCTCCAGTCCCAGGCCTCAAGCAATCCCTCTACCTCGGCCTCCCACCACAGCAAGGCAACCCTAAAAAGTGTGTGTGTGTATGTGCGTGTGTGTGTGTGTTTAAGATAGTTCTCAGGTAGCTGGGTGGTAGTGGCTCACAACTTTAATTCTAGCACTCGGGAGGCAGAGGCAAAGGGATATCTGTGAGTTCGAGGTCAGCCTGGTCTACAGAGTGAGTTCCAGGACAGCCAGGGGTACACTGAAAAATCCTGTCTCAGAAACAATGTGTGTGTGTGTGTGTGTGTGTGTGTGTGTGTGTGTAACTGTGCTCTTCCCCACTTTGATCTTTTTGTTTTATTATTTTTATTTTGTGTATGGGTGTTTTGCCTGAATGTATGTCTGAACCATGTGTGTTCCCAGTGCCCATGGAGGTCGGAAGAGTTGTAATGGGTCCCCTGGAACTAGTGTTACAGACGGTTGTAACTCTCACGTGGATCCTGAGACTCAAACCCTAGTCCTCCGGAAGAGCAGCCAGTCATCTTAACCGCCGAGCCATCTCTTCAGAGCCACACCCCCTTATTCTTCAAAAATAAAGCTAGGTTTGATCATCATAAATTCAAGGCAGATTAAAATGAAAGATTTCCCAAAAAGGACAGACACTTTTTGCAGAAAGAAGCTTATCTCACTACTGAACAAGAGACTATGCTTACTCTAGGGAGCCACTGTTAATTTTTAATTGGTAATCCACATAAAATAGCCATATTTCTGGGTTAATATTACTTAAGGAAAATCCAGGAAAGAATATGGCTTCCAGTCGTGCGGTGGTGGCACACCCCTTTAACCCCAGTGCTTAGATGGCAGAGGCAGATGGATATCTGTGAGTTTGAGGGCAGCTTGGTCTATGAGAGCTAGTTCCAGGACAGGTTCCAAAGCGACAAAGAAACCCTGTCTTGAAAAAGAAAAGAAGAACATGAATGAAACAGCTCATTTAGCAATATTAACAATATTAAGACATATCTGCTGAGTACCAGGGGCTGTGTTTAAAAGGGACTGCACATAAAATGCATAACACACAATAGCTGACTTACACAGCCGTTTGCCTGTGCACACAAATGCATGGACTCTTCCTGTCATTGGAGTAACAGTCAGAACCCAATAAAGGCAGCCCCAACCTCCTGCCCTCCATAAGTCATAGAATAGAGAAAGGCTATTTAGTCAATGGAATTGCACTGTGAAGAGAAACAAAAGAGGTCCAGTGACCCACCCAGGTTCTGATTTGAGATTTAGGGTTCTATCAAGGGCAGGAGGTATGCATAATTAAGCAGACCCTTTAAGGGACTTAAGTTGCAGTCTTTTTCACTCAGCTCCAGTATCTCCTGTAAGATCGTCTGACCCGCTGTCAAAACGGAGTAAAATCTCTTTCCAGGAGACAAGTTTCTTCTCCTAGCATGAGAATCCCAGGAAAATTCCAATTACTTGATGAGATTTTCCATAGTCTGTTAGCCCAAGGGAGGGACACGAGGGTATTCATTCTTTCCTGAAAGGACGAATAGATTTACAGTCAGAAAAGGTGCATTTATAATAACTAAGCCGCCCTCTTCAAGTCTGATGAAGACCCCGAGGCCTGTACCTTACACACTGCGACCTTCCCAGGGCCTGGGGTGGACTAGCTAAACCCAAATTTCCTGAGTAGTGAAGGCCAATTCACACCAATCAGCTGCCCAGTGGTGCTAACTGCAGGCGCTTCCCTGCACCTGGGGAGAGGTTAATTGCAAGCCCTTCTCAGCCCTGACCTCATCTGACCTCTCTCAATTAGTCCTACAAAACTCTGTCTCGAATTCACCCTCCTTCACAGGAGCTGACCCTCGCGAATAGAACATCTTTGTTTCAGTCGAATCTGTCCGTTTATCAACAACAGCAGTGACTTGCAAAACCCAAGGTTAATGCCTGTTGGTCCTTCTCTGTCCTTTGAGCAAAAGAAGTCGAGAAAGACACATAATTCTTGTTTCGCCAAGCGTTTGGAGACTCTGCGCACCTTTGTTACACTGTTATAATTAGGTATATTCTGGTTTGGCCTTGTCTCCGTTACACGTTTTCAAACGTTTGGTATCTTTTACAGCCTGATAATGGACTAGTTTCCCCGTACAGCTTTTCTGGCCTTTCCATTTAGACTTGGCCTTTCCCTGCCTGAGAGAAAGAAATGTAGCCACAAATGCTTTAGTGCTCTCTTGGTGTGGCGAATCAGAGGATGGTGGGCGGGCCTTCTCTTTTGAGCTGAACCCCTGACTGACTTCACACACTGGAACCTTCGGATCTAGGACACAAGGACTTGCACTTCCTTTCTCTTTGAGGAGAGCTGCCAGGTGAGGAGGAGTTACCCTGAGACCCTCCCTGCAGTGAGAAAGGCACAGTTGAAAAACCACACCAGGCCTAAAGGAGAAAAGAATGCGCTGTACACACAGGGCAGTCTGTGACGACGAGAAGCAAAGTTTGACTCTCAAGAGTTTCTGCGCAGTTTATAAGGCTTAAAGCAAGCAATTCGCTGATGTCTCTTGGGACTGGCCCCCAAAAAAATCTGTATCCTTTTGAAGCAAGTGGAGCTTTACAAGCTCATCTGTCCAAACCTAGCTGTTTCAAATTGTCGTGGTGGCAAGAAGAAGAAGCTTAAGTATGTTTCATTAGAGCTCACAGTTCAAGGAAATTAAGATGGCCCAGTTTCTGTTCTGTGCCTCTCCTAGGGGTAGGCATGGCCTAGGAGTGTACCAAACTGTGGCCCCCATTGTTACTATATTCTAAAGTCCCCGCTCTGGGCTGATCTGAGAATGTGACCAGACTATTACCAGTTCTGTCACCACCAAGTGCTTCAGGCCCTTGCAGATAACAAAGGGGAATTTTAATAGGCCTTTCCAAACTGCTACTCCCTGTAGCTTTTTTTTTTTTGTCAGTGCTCAGGGGCATCCTTTGCTGAGTCCATGGCTACTGGCCAGCA